AATAAAGGATGTAATCAGTTTTAACACCCACAAATCATATTTTTATGAGAAAATGGCTTCCTAATGAGAAAATTATCATCTCGTCATCCCGTAAAAACCAAAAAAGTATTGGAAGGACATGACCCCTCTGGGCTTCCGTACAGATGAACCTTTTCCAACCACACTTTTTCCTGACACATTTAAGTTTGTATGAATGTGACTTTATGCAGCCCTCTGCAGACAACCATCCATCAGCAGGGACCGTTTAAAGCTTCCCCTTTTTTCACATTTATTTGCATATCTGTGAAGTCAACATTTTCCTACCTGACCATCACGGAGAAACCATTCGATCCCGAACAGTTGTTTTAAGTTAGCTAGCTGGTTAGCATGTGACATCACGTGTTTCCTGAATTAAACATTATTCTTTTCTGCTACGAGTTCATCTGTGGATCATCATCAGATAATAAGAGCATAAAAAAGTTTTGATTTCTATCATGATATTCGATAGTTTTTGGATTCAGCAGTTTCAAGGTTAGAACTTAAAAGGTAATATAACTGGTGTTGCACCAATAAAGATACCAGTATCAGGTGGGGCCCGATCCAGCACTAAAATTATGGTATTGGTATCGTCGAGCACCAACAAATAGGGCACCGATACCATTTATAGAGCCTAAAGTTTATTCAACTATTGTCACCCATTCCAGGTAGACAATAAAAAGTTCTACTGGATTCACTTTGTTTTAGTCTTTTTCCTGCTTCACAAAGGTAGGCAGCAGCTTGACAAAGCCATGATGGCCATTATTTTACATCCAAGTAGTATGCAGTTCTTTATATATACACACACATAAATTTCAAACAGATGGTATCGGCCGATCCTGCACAGCCAGGTATAATGGGGCTAAAAAATGGCTGTGGCGCAACACTAAATATAACCAAACATTTCAGAGCATTAACGACCGAAAGATGGTTAATTTCAAGAGGAGGGCGGAAAAGTTGCTTAGACGTGGTTGTATTAATACAGAAATTCAGTAGAGATAGAGTTTTACCTTGAGGCGTTTTAGGATTAGAGGGCTTATAGAAGGCATGTTTCGAAGGGTGATGGGCAACATCTGCAAGAAGAAGTTAGAAAGCAAATTTGACCAACATGCATACAGTTTTCAGAGGAACTTTAAACAAAGTCAAACAAGCGTAAAAAGTGAAGATAAAATGAAGGAAAATGTAAATAGATCACAGCGATGGGAAACTGAAGAAGGAAAAAACAGTATTTAGGTGCATAATAGAGCTGAAGACAAAAAGGAAAAATAGAAGCATGCGCATAACAAGGCCAGCACCAGGAACAGCAATGGAAAAAATCGAAATCTAGATAAGTCATTTATTTTCTTAAAATGAGTGCATTTGTTCTTGGATTGAGGAGTTAAAAGAGACATTTTGCCAATGGAACAATACAGTTTACTTTTAAAATAATAAAAACACAATTGCATTGTCTTATTTCAAGTGCCTAATTAACTTATTTTAAGAGTAAAAATACTTATTCCATTGGCAAACTATATCATTTACCTGCTCAAATTAAGTGTAAATACACTTAATTTAAGTATTTTTTTAACTTATATCTAGATAATTTTTCCAGTGAGATAACTAGTCAGTGAATTTTCTATGGGTTGTCTTTGGGGGGGAACGTAAAACAATGTTTCTGGTTCTTAAACTACCATGATGCTCCCATTGCCGCAGCACTTTTACAAGCTTTTTCTATTAATAATTGGAAATATTTACTTGAAGCTGAGTATAGATGGGCTTTTGTTTTTCCATGAGAAATAAAATAAGTTTTAATTCAATATTTATCCAGCGTCATTAATTGAAATTATCTGATTTAGCACTACCAATCTGGGTCCCTGAGCAAGAGCCTTGGCCCCATACTCCCCGGGCGCTACGTACAGAACTACCCCCCACCCTCCCGGGCCCCGATGGATAGGTTAAAAACAGAGAACATGTTCCATTGAAATGTTCAAAGGTTCAATGACCAGAGATGTCCAAAGTATTCATGCTTATTACACAAGTAGAAATACTACTGCTTAAAACACTTAAGGATCAACTTAGATTTTTACTCCAGTTAAAGTGTAAAAGTACCATTTTAAAACTACCTAATGTGTAAAAGTAGTGCAGGAACAAATGTTAAGGGCAGAAGCTTGACTGTACTACCCTATTAAAGGAAAATGTTTGTACAATTATGGATGATAACTTCCTTAGACTTAAGGCGTTTCTCAATTCATAGGAACTCCAGTACAGACTCGTGTCCTCACCAAGTATGTTCTTGAAATGAACACAGGAAAGTATGGGCTCCCGGCATCCTGGGAATCAGGGGAGGATCTGGAGAAGGATGGAATCTCCGTGAGTGCCTCCAATTCGCAGTTCCAGTCCCTTTGGCAGCAGGAGAACCTTCCCAGGCCCTCGTGGTCGAGAGTTCGACCCCCAGAGTTTGGAAGGTCAGGATGGCGACTATGGTCTAGACCACATGCCCCCAGTGGACCACTGCATTGCCTCTCTGTGCAATGAGACCTCCCACTGGTGTTTAGTGCTCTAAGTGGGGGAGTGGCAGCCAAATAGTTAGGGCATAGAGCTTGGAATCCTGATGCAAAATGGCAGCCCATTGTTCCCAAAGGTGATGAGTTAAAGGCAGAGGTAAATTTCTCCAATGTGAAATCAATGAAAGTTCAATCAATTCAATCAAGTTTGTGTCCATGAGAACCGCCTTTCTACTGGCGATAACGACACCCCTGAGGGTCAGTGACTCCACCAGTGGTGGCCATCACCCCGACCTGCCTCAGTTGGAAGGCGGGTGGTTCCGGGTGACGCTGTGGCCAAACATCGCCTTTGTTCCCAAGGTTCTGCCACCGGGCTACGTGAACTCAGCCATTGAACTGGCGGCCCAATTCCAGTCAGATGAACAGAGGTTGGCGAACACACTGTGCCCGGTCGGGGCATTGCAGCTGTACATCATGGCTAGGGGCGTTATTCACTGGTCGGAGCAGCTGTGGGAGTGTATTTACATTCCTGGGTGGAAATGAGGGTGCCACTGGTGGACATGTGTGCGGCAGCGTCTTGGGTGACACCATGGGTATTTGGTAAAGCCAAGTCCACACTAGCTTTGACGATCCTGCCTCTGGCTTCCTCTACCTCCTAGGCGGTGGGTGAGTACTCCATTTCTCGTGACATTCCCTCCCTTTTCTCCCACAGAGAGAAGGTCACAGGAGACAGAACATGGCCTTCAAGGTGAAATTTATAGACACACGCCCAGGTGAGCTATGTGTCACATGCATGACTTTCTTTACATTATATCTTGACCTACGCAAAGCGTGAGGAGACATATCCACTTTATTTACTGGCACAGTCAGGAAGGAATGAAAAACAACATTAGTTATAAAACTAAGAAAGTTAGGTCTAAAGGCTTATTTATATTCAGAAACGGGGTTGTCTGTGGGTGTGTGACAGTGAATGCAGATATGCTCCCGCCCCTTCTGCAGACACTCTACTGCACCTCCCCACAGACAGTGCCGCAGACAGGAGGCCTCTGATTGGTCTATTCTACATCCGCTCTACACTATGCGTATTTCCTGTTTGGTACCTTTCTGGCTTGTTTTGTTTGTGTGACCGCCATTGTGGAAAACGACTCGTGAAAATGGACCAGCAGAAGAGCAAGGTGCGTGAAAACACTGGGACCCTTTTTCCACCTGGATCCCCATTTTTTTTTTGTCCCTCCGTTGTCGCACAAACTTGCTCCTTGCGTTTTTCCACTTCCTCACCTCCTCGGCCGTATCTAGACCAGCAGCTAGTTCCTGATTGTCCCTCTTGTGTTGTGGCGGGGAATAACATAGCACAGACCACGCTTCAAAATTGGGCATTAATCAAAAATATAAGCTCACTGCGACACACTGCTGCGGGAGGATAACCAGCCCTTAAGGAAGTTATCATCCAGATTGTAGGAAAATGTTCCATTAATAGTGTAGTGCAGTAAAGCATCTGTCCTCAACATTTTTTCTTGCATTACTTTTACTATTATACTTTCAGTAGTTTTAAAATGTTAGTTTTATCAACTTTGTTTACTGCCACTGGCAGTCATCCAGGAATTCACAGAACCATAGTTACAATGTAACTAATGGTAACAGTGTCAAATTAAGCTTTGCATCATCTTGAAAAACTATTTATTTCAGTATGTGGTGAACAACAAGTTGGGGCAGCACAGAGTCCAAACAGAAAGAAATTATTTGTCTGGATGGGACTAATTATTTTGATAAGGAGTAGAAAGCAGAGATAATTGCTAAAAAAAAAAAAAACTGTACCGAGTAGAAGTAAAAAGTTCTCCAAAAAATAATTACTTCAGTAAAGAACAGCCTAAATTTCTACTGAAGTAAGGCAACAAGTATTTTTACTTAATTAAACACCTTTGGGCTGAATTTGATGGAAATACCACAACAGTTAATATTTACATTTTAAATTTTTCAAAATTAACACAATATTTCCATAGTTTTGTGCATATTTATAATCTAAACAAAACAATGGTTAATGCCATTTACCAAGCTCATGTACACTCTCCTCTGCTGCAACATAAAATGCCAAATTAATATAAAATATCAGCACATGAATCAGTGTTTTAATATGATGGCGTAACGATCTGTCTGAAAGAAGCAGAACATTTTTATCTGAAATTGACAACAACCGAAAGTAAAACAGACAAACTCTTCAATACCATAAATCTATTTCTTCAAAGTAAAAAAATTATCTTTAAACTGTAAAATAATTTTTCATTATTTCTCAAATTCATTATTTAATATAGTGCAATAAATGTCCAATTTAATTTAATTCAACAGCAGTTTCGGAGGGTACGAGTTTCTGCTCATTAAATTCCCATTATTTTTGTAGATGCATGTTTTATGCATGCAGATGTTTTATTTTCTAAAGTGCAATGTTGTAACTTTTTGGTATAACAGATGTAATTATTTAATTTCTAAATCAACAGATCACAACTTTAAAAAGGCCCCATCCAGTTAGCTTTTCAATCTGAAAAACAAGAGTCTATATTTCCCATGAAAGCAGGGATCACTTTAACATGCTCTTACAATATAGCAAAGAAAAGAGTGAACTGATCTTACCCGGTGTGTCAAATCTCCACAAACACCCTGGAGGAAAAAGAAAAGGAATTTCAGACATAAAGAGTAAGAAAAACTTTATATTTGAATGTTACCTATACTGTATAAACTAAACATGCCTATATGATTGGACTAAATTGGCATTTTTGTTTAATTTGTTTGTGCAAAACAAAATTTACTACATTTAATTTCCCTTCCGAACTGCATCCAGAGAAATAATATTACTTTTGGTTTGGCGGGACAGACTGGAAAACTGGATTAAGATCAGATTAATATCAAATTAATGGCCTTCTTACACTGTGCAATATTAGTTATATTCAAAGACTATTCCATCACAAATTATGTGACGTAGATCTACAGTGGCAGCCATTCAAAATGGCAGGTCCCTGTCAAACGCCAGCCAAATAGCAGCCCACTTCCCTGATACTCCCAGCAAAATGCCCTCCAACTTCCAGCCACTGGAGTGATGCCCTCCTTCTCCTGGGTGTG